GCCTTAAAGTTTCTGCATTGTAAACCTGAGCCAAAACAACAAAAAGTGAATTTTCATGGTCTTATACACAGTATGTCCCACAAGAAAACAAATGAAGTTCTTTTTCCCCCTTTGAGTCCTTCTAGCTGAGATACACATTTTTTTAAAAAGTGTGCAACACATTGAACACTTCAATGAATGTTAATTTGAAGGAGGAGAATATCATTTTCTGGTTATAGTTCTCTTATGTTTTATGAGATATCCTAAACACATAATTATCCTTATTTATTTGACAGGAGAAAATGTTGCATGTGCTTTTAAACTGGGACTAATTTACACTTTCTCAAAGTTTATAGGCATTTAAAAGAACCACACTTCAAATTGCAGGAAGGAACAGACAGACCATCCCAAGGCAGTAACAATGAAAATAGTAACAACAAAAAACCAAAACCAAACAAACAAAACCCTCCAAATCCAAACAACAACAAAAAAAGCAAAACCCTAAATTCCTCCAAAAGCTTTGAAGTCAGAAAATGGGACTTTTTCTTTTTCTCTATTTCATGCAACTATAATGAGTTCAGAATTATTAGAAAACACAAAACTAAAAAAAAATTCTATTGAATGTATTTTCCCCCTGCTTTTGAATTTTGTGTCCTTTCTTTCATAAAACATGCTAAAATTTTGAGACAGAAATTTCACTGACAAAGGTTATATTTAAAATGGAATATACTGGTGATTTATCCAAAGGAATTATTCCAAAAAAGGGGAAAAATGATTCCTCAAATTTATGTCCTATGTCTCCTGCACTGTTTACAAAAGGAAGAAAAATTTAAAAAGTTAGTGTAACACAGAGACTTAAATCTTTTAGCCTGAATAAAAATAATGGTAGAAAAATTTGGAGGCAGCAAGTAAAAAACTAAAAGAATTTAAAAGGATACAAAAGGATGACAAAGTGTAAAAAAGCATTACAAATGCTGGGAAGAAACATTTTAAAAACAAAACTAATTTTGTATGACAATGGTGGAATTGATTTTTTTTGTTGTTGATTGTTCTCATCTACTTCCATTTAAAAAAGTTGTTTTATTCTCTTGCAATTTTTTCTCTCTCTGCATTTATTTCAATGGACATCAGAATCCTATCTTTAAAATAAAGTCTGGTGTCACATTTTCTAAGTGTAGAGGGGGGATTGAATTCCACAAGGAGACCAAACACTTCACTTAGGAAAAACCAAGGAGGAGATGAGAGGGAGGAAGAGAACAAGAAAAAAAAAAGGAAGTTTAACAATTATAATACATACATTATTTCTTAGCTCTGATACTAAACCAAACAAAAGAAAACCAAGAACACAAGAAGGGGAAGATGAAAACTTTTGGTGCTCTACATCTTCCCCTTCCTATCCTTAACCTAGGGGTGTGAGTCTTGACAAGAAATAACCCTTCTCTGCCTGAGATATCCTCTATCCCAGCCTAAGATAGCCAGGTCACTGAGGCAAACTGAAGCGGGCCACATTCACCCAGCTGTATTCGGAAAGCTAGTGCAGCCTCTGATTATACATACAGAAGCCCTGGGGGTGGGGTGGGGTGGGGGTGGGAATGAACAGGATTAGAATTCAGTTAAACAGTTGATCTTTCAAAAAAGAATGTTTCAGTGGGGCAACAATTGGTACATTGTTAATTAAACAATTTAAAACTACTCCTGTATTGTCATTTCAAATATATTATTTTAAAAAGTCTAGTTTAATTATTTAGAGTTCCATTATATTCATAAAAGGTTGAATTCAAGGATTGCTTTAAAATTTCTCTTGGAGTCACAGGGAGAAGTCTAGACCTAGTTTTTGTAGGCTGTAACTTGCTTTTGTTTTAGGAAGAGATAGAGTAGTGGGTTTGTTCTCCAGGGAGATAATTATTATCAATACCTAAAGATTATTATCAATACCTAAAGATTTAAACTAAATGAAGTAAACAGCCCTGAACCTTCCTAGGAGCTCGGAAGCCCTGCCTACTTAGCCTGTTCCTTGTTCCCTAATAAAACAGAAAAGATTAAGAGATGAGGGCTACCATTTAGAAAAAGGCCAGGGACCACAACAGCCTTTTTAGGAACATTTTTTTTTGCTCTTTCAAACAAACAAAAACAACCCTACAAAATCACCAAGAAAAAGTCCCCATGTAATCGATCCACACATTCTAGCTAACACAGATTTTTTTCTTCTTCTTCTTTTCCCCGACTGTAATTTTCCTGAATGATCTTTGCTCTTGAAGATGATCTGGTGTTTCATTCAAAAGATGTCTGCGTGCCTACTATGTGGCAAGCAGTTTCCAGCTCATTAGTTTGGTTTATTTAAAAATGATGCTTGTGGTCAACAGCTGACAAGAGTCTAAGAGTGAGATGGGGGGAGGGTCGGAGGTGGGTGGGGGTGGACACCCAGGCATCGCTCACCTTCTTGGGCAGAAACCAACCGATACCCTACATAGTCTTTTAAATCCTGTTGCTTCGTGGGAAGAAGAAAAATGCTACACACACACACACACACCCGTCAAACACGTGGCAGGCTAGAACAAAACGCTGATTTGGGAGGGTGGGTGCTGAAGGTGGTGGTGAAGACAGAGGCCGAGTGGAAGCCCTCCCCCTCCCCCACGCCCCAGCCCCCGAGGTTTCCCAGCTCGCCGAGAAAATGGGGAAGGGGACAAAGGTGCTGGATGCGGTCGGTCTTTTAACTCCGGACTTTTAGAAAGGTGTGACGTGCTCCGGCCGCAGGCAGACGAGCCCAAGTCCGAATTGGCTCACTGACTCTAAAAAAAAAAAAAAAAGGGGAAAAAAGCAGTTAACCATAACAACAACAACAAAAAATTCAATTCATTCACCTCGGTGTAGGCAACACGTGTTACCGAGCCGGCCCGGGCCGCGGATGACGGAGACAATGGGGCCGGGACGAGGGAAGGGGCGAGTGACCCCCAGCCTCACCTGCCCTCGCCACGCGCGTGCCCCGCCGTGGAACCATCTCCCCCTCCCGCGGACCCCGAGGACGATCCAACACGCGCCCACCTCGGGGCGTCTGCAGCTCCCTAGCGGGTGGACCCTCTTCTTCTCCTGGCTCGCTGGCCGAGGGGGCTCCGGGGTCCTGGGGCTGCGCTCCCCGCCACCCCCTGGCCCATTCCCAGCCCCTGCCACTAGAAATTCGTTGGCTTCGCCCGCCGCCGGGCCGGGGATCCCGGGATTGCGGGTGCAGCGCGCGTCCCGCGCTCCAGCGCGTCTCGGGGACTCCGAAGCGCGCGCGTCGCCCCCTCCCCCACTGCCCAGAAAAGAGGGGGATTGCGACCGCCCACGTGTCGCCCCTTGCCCGGTGAGGGTCCCTCGGGCTCGCGGAGCCCGAGGATCCAGATTGAGTTTGGTCCGAGCTCAGAGAAGGGACTTGGGCGGATCCGCTTCCCCCTCCCCAGGAACGAGCGGGGGAGGGGCCGCCGCCCCCTCCCCCGAGCTCCCGCCCCTCGCTCCTCCGAGCGCTGAGCGGAAATCGCCCCCTCCCCCCGCGGGTCTGACCTGGGGACGTGGGCGGGGCCTCGCCGGCCCCCGCCCTCCGCCCCCGCTCGGGCCGGCCCGGCACCGCAGCCCCAACAAAGTTCTGAGACCCGAACCCCGCGCCCGCAGAGCTGCAGCCGGTGTCCCGGTTGGAGCGGGTGCGGGGGTGGGGGGCTCCACCTGTCTGCCCCCGCACGGGGGTGGGGAAAGGGGGGAAATCTTTCGGATCCCCACCCGGTCACTCCCTCCCTGAGACTTCCCCGTTTGGTCTGCTCGGGTTAGCCCCAGCGACCACCCATCGTCCTTCTCTCCCACCCGGTATCCTGGGGTCGTCTCGGGCCGGGGCTTTGGGCTCCCCCAGACCCTGAGAAGGTTGTCATTTAATAGCTGGAATCAGGGCGCGAGCCATCCTTCCTAGTGGGGAGGAGGATACAGAAACACGATTGCCAGGGGGTCCTCGATTCTCCGCCGCCCTCCCTAACGTTCCCAGCTTCTTGGTCCTAAGCTCGTGGGGGGGGGTCCCAGAGTCCAGGGGCGGGGGTGGGGGAAGCCTCCTGGGGGGTGTGGCGACGTGGGCGGAGAGCCCCTACTTAGGAATCTGGGGGGGGGGAGAAGGCGCTTTTCTTTTTAAACCGCCGGCTCGGGCGACCCCTTCCAGAAGACCCCAGAGTCCTCGGCTTCTCTTTGTCTATCTCCGCCGTCCCCCGCCTGTCAGTCGCTCGCAGTTTATGGGGGTGGAGTGGGCAACCCAGCTCCCCCAGAACGAATAATAATAATAATTATAACATAACCGTCCCCGTTATTCTCACAGACTGGGGAGATTTGGGGCTCCGCTCGCGCCCCGGGTCCAGGTTGAGGTAGGAGGATGGGTGGGGGCGGGGCGCTTCCCTAGGGGCCAGGTTCTCGCCAAGAGGGAGGGGGCGCGGAGCTCTACGGGGACTGCGGTCCCCGCGGTCCCACTTTACCCTGGGGATGCAGTGCCCCCCCCCAGGTTGCTGGGCTAGGCCGGGTGCGGGGGCCGTGGGGCCCGGCGGCGTCGGGGGTCTTTTCTGGCTGGGTGGGTGGGGGCTGTCACCACGTGGCTTAGTCTTTTTTTTTTCCGCTCCATTTTTTTTTTCAAGTCGATTTTATTTAGAGGCGGCGCCTGGGCGGCCGTGGAGAAACGTGACACACCAGCCCGCTCCGAGGGGTTTCGGACCGAAGGGAAGGAGAGTCGCGCTTCGTCCTCCGCCTCCCCAGCGCGTCGCGGGCACTTCCCCCCGCGCCCCCCCTCCCCGCCGAGCTCCCCGCCGAACTCTGCCGCGACCCCCGCGCGCCCTCCGGCCGTCCTCCCCGCCCCGAGCTCCGGACAACTTCAGGGGTGGGGTGCAAAGAAAGTTTGCGGTTCTTGCCACCGGCCTTCCCCTGCCTCACGGCCTAGGAGGCTCGCCGCCCGCCCGCCCGCGCGCGCCCGCTCCCCGCTCGGCCTTGCCCGGGACCGCGTCCTGCCCCGCACCGTCGCCACCATGAACAAGCTTTACATCGGCAACTTGAACGAGAGCGTGACCCCCGCCGACTTGGAGAAAGTATTTGCGGAACACAAGATCTCCTACAGCGGCCAGTTCTTGGTGAAATCCGGCTACGCCTTCGTGGACTGCCCGGACGAGCACTGGGCGATGAAGGCCATCGAAACTTTCTCGGGTAAGCGTGCAGCCACCTCCCCGGAAAAACCACGGCGAGATCCCGGAACAACGGGAGACCCGCACCTCCGCTCGCCGGGCCCGCCAACTCCTCTCCACCCTCCCCCCCGTCTGCGGGGGGCTGCGCCCACCTCCCTCGACGCCCCCACCCATCCTCCCCGCACGGAAATATTCGGGATGTCTCCTATCCACCTCTACCAGCTCGGGGTTTCCCTTTCCCTTCCCCTCCACCTCGACGGGGCGGTAAGCCCCCCCCTTGGGCAGTACTGGGGGGGTGGCTTTAAGGGCACCTAGATCCCTACCGGGGCGTTATTTCCACGTCCAGCCCCTCCCTATCCGCCACTGGACGCCCCCCCCCACCATGGATACCCCACCTCTCCCTTATGCCTAGGCCTTCCCAGGCGTGGAGGGGGTCCCACATTCTCTCCAATCTCCCCGCTTTTTTGTGGAGACTGCAGCCCTCAGGCAGGGCATGAGAGTAAGGGGCTCCCGCCTCCCGCCCAGGACCGGGGCTTGAGCCATTTTGATTTGAAAGTGGGGCGTGAGCGGGGTGGCGCGGTGGCGCCGGGTCGCCATGCTGTTTCGCGAGACGCCGAGGCTGGGCCAGGAAGCGCGCGCGGTGGCGGCGAGGGGCCGACTCCGCTTCCCCCCAGGTCCCCCCCGCTTCCCGACCGCCCCAACGCCCGGAACCCTCCATGGTCCCACAGAAAAAGAAAAGTTGAATTCGGCACTCCCCACCCCACTTGCTGAGAAAATGGGGTGCCTTCTCCTGGCGCCTTCTCCACACATCTGGGAGCCAGAGAGGCGGTGCGCTCACACCTTCCCCAAATGGGGCTCCCAGTGATCTGTGCACCTAGCCCGGATCCGTGGTTAAGCACAAGAGAAATAAAAAAATGAAGGAAAGAATGAATTTATAAGGTTGCACAATTTCTCAGGCAACCTTTGCCCACCCAGGCGGGGAAGCCACGGTCTGCATTCCCTGCAAGATCTGAAATCCCAAGTAGCTTATGTGTCCCCTTCCCCCTCTGTGCCCCCCCCCCCACAAGCACTCACTCATTTTTTTTTCTTTTAATCTTTAGGGAAAGTGGAACTGCAAGGAAAACGCCTAGAGATTGAGCACTCTGTCCCCAAAAAACAAAGGTAGGAAAGAGTTCTGGGGTGTGTGTGTGAGGGGGGGATTGAAGGGGGGTGTTTAAGGCTGAGAAGCTGTATTCTGGGGTCCATAACATCTCCAGTGAAAGAAACTCATTACTTGCCTTCCCACCCCCAATCCGGATGTTGGGGGCTGGGAGGGAAGATTGGCCAAGATCTTGTAATGGGTGGTTTAAAGCTTACTTAAAAAAAAATAGTTGAGGCTGGTGTAGACTAAAAGATGCTACTTGGAGAAATTAAAGAGAAATAAATCAGAGCCGAATCTTTTGTGGAGTTCAAAGTGTGGGGCCATTCCCCCCATCCCCCTGGGTAGGGGGAAGCTTAAAATAGTTGAAGAGTTCAAACTCATGACGAGGACGATTCTTGCAAGTTCCTAGCAGGCCTCATTTTCTGATTTTTCCCACCCTAATTATATGGATTTGGGGGAGTCCTTTTCTACTCCCTAGGAGATGTAGAATGAGCTTCCTGTCCCGGTCCCCTCCCCCCCATCCCCCTATGCTTGTATTTATTTATATTTCTACAACAGTATAAGGAATTTTTTTTACCCCCACAGACTCCTAGCCCCAGTCCCTCACATCTTACATTGTTCCCTCCCCAACTGGTTTTTGCAACGAATATGCTTTAGCTGTACTATCCTTGTCGAGCCCCCCCACCCCCACTCCCTCCGTCCATTGTTACCAGGGGACCATCTGGGATGAGAGCTTTGTGTTCAGGCTGTGAGCTGAGGCTCTTTGGAGGGTCTAGAACTCCGTGGATGAATGGTTGTGTGTGTGTGTGTGGGCGCGCGCGCGCGTGCGTGTGTGCGCCAGCCAATACACTTATCTTCTCCCTTCAGCAAAATGGGGTATTTCCAACATGTTTCCCCAAAATTCATGGTTTTCAACTCTTCATTGAACTCTGAAATTTTTGTTGAACTCTGGCTGGAAAATAAAAGCAACCTTTCTCACATCAGACTTTAAACATGTTGACAGAACAGTTTTTGCTAGTTGAGAACAAACTCAGTAAATCTTTGAATCCCCCCCCTTTTTTTTAACAGAAAAACGATGTATTTCCGAACAGTTTCTGGCCATTTCTGGGTGGGACGATGAAGTGTGGGGTAGGAGGAGGCGAAAGAATCTAGGGAGTTTAACTGGAGATAATTTGTTCATTGGTTTAGCTTGGAGATATTTTAGTAACTTAGGAACTATTGTGTTTATAGATGATCGATGTGTTTGGTTACTATGTTTCTAGAACTTGTTATTTAACCTCAAATGCCTGGAATATTCTGTTATTGGAAAGGCAGAGTTAGAGGTAAAGAAGCAATAAAGTTGAAACAAAAAAGTCTTATTATTTTGAAACATTTCCTGGAGATAGAATGAGAAACAAATGTATTGATAACAGTAGATATACAGGGAAGAACCTAGATAGTTGAATTTTAAACTGTGTGCTGATGAGATATACCTCTAAGTGGAAGTCTAAGATATGTGGACATTTTTTTCTTCTTTTCCTCTTGGATGGTTTAAATTTTAAAGGGAATGAAGCGAGTAAAGCATGTGAAATAGCAAAATGTGATGAAATGGAACTCAAAACATTTATATTTTAATTTTCATGGTGCCCTGTATTTATGGAGCTTTTTCCTCAAACCATCTGCTTGCTTTTAAGCCATTTCTAGGCTGTGTGTTCCCTCCAAAATGCAGCACTGAGGGCTCTTTTGAGTTGGAGTGGGGAGGGGGTTTGTGAGAAGACTGGGTTTGAAAAAAAAAAAAATCTCCCTTTCCACACCCATACTAAATTAGATCTTTTGTGTGTTCAGCCCCTTCCTGAAATCATTTTTGAGTCCAAACATTGAGTCAATTGCCTTTTTCTTTCTTTTTTTGGGATGTACTGGTGGTAAAGGACTTCATTTTTCTAGCATGAATCAATTTTTGAAGTCCCAGGATTTTAAAAAAGAAAGAGTTTGTTTTCATTAAGTGAGTTTGCTCTATCATTTTGTGTTCTTGGGGGAAGCATGTTGTGGTATGTGTTTTCAGTCTGTCTCTCGTTCCTTCAGTTGAATTTGTTACTGGCTTTTCAATCTCATGGCTATCCAGAAGAGAAACTAGTTAGTTCATTGTGAGTAACATTCCAAACCAAATTAACAACTTGCGCCCATGTATTTGGTGTATAGTGTATTCTTGTGTTTTCACTATTTCAAACAGAACTCTTCGTGATACACTCAGATCCAAATGAATTGAGATTTAAATTTCTAAAAGTCTCATAAAAATTCAGTTACCTGAATGTTCCTGTTTCTTTAAAGAGGAGAAATCAAATTAAAAAAAATATTACAGAAGTACCTTTGAGGAGTACTGACTTAAAAGTATTAATATATCTTGTTCTCACTTTGAATCTCTTTGATAAGTATAATTTATACATTTCTAAGGGTTCAAGAAACTGAATATTATATTTAAACTGAAAACAACAGACCTGAGTTTTAAGAATTTGTGACATTAAAATTCACTATTAACCTTTCCAAACCCCTCTTTTAACCAGGGTTGGAATTTGGTTAACAATTTTGACTTTTAATTGAGAATTTGTATATATTTACTGTCAAAGCTTGGTTTTAGGAGAAAACCCAAAAGCAATTTTGGAGAGTTGGTTTTCTTCTGAAAGACTGAAGAGTAGTTGAGGTGGTGCCACCTTAGCAGATTTAGTGAGTTCAGGAATGATTTAACCTTTTTGTTTATTTATTTATTCATTATTGTTATTACTATTTTGCCAGTCCTGGGGCCTGAACTCAGAACTGAGGGCATGGGCAGTGTCCCTGAGCTTCTTTTGCTCAAGGCTAACACTCTACCACTTGAGCCACAGTGCCACTTCCAGCTTTTTCTGTTTATGTGGTACTGAGGAATCAAACCCAGACTTTTCATGTATGCTAGGGAAGCGCTCTACCACTAAGCCACATTCTTGGCCCACAATTGACTGACTTTTTAAGAAATTAAACTTGTTGCACTTGTCACAGAGGTATGCCTTTTTCTGGAGGAATGTGACTTTAAGATAGTGTATTTGTTGTCAGCTAGTGTTATCAAAATAAAAGGTGTTAAGGTTTAAAAAATGAAAGATGCCCTGCATTTTTCTAGGTGAAATGTATTGAACTTAAGTAATTTTAAGCTTGGTGATTTTTTTTCTTTAATTCCCAGGTTAAGGGTGGTTCTTCCCCTTTACCTTGACTTAAAATGTCCTAAACTTCCAACTATTAAAATGACAATTATTCTCATATCCATTCATAGAGGTTTGAAACTTTCAAAAGAGAATGTGTTCTGACTTGATTTTGATCTTACTGGTTTTTTTTTTGGTTAGTAGTTTAAAAAATCTGCTTTAAGTTTGCAGAAAATAATCTGCAATTTTATTTGTTAAAAGTTATTTATTAGAGACTCTGAATAGTTGGATCACCAAATCTTTTCAAGACAAGCTAGAACTTTTTCTTTCCCTTCAATAGGTTTTTGCATTTCATAAAAGAAACACAACAACCAACCAGACAAAAATCCAAGCCTCAAGAGTTAGAGCTGAAATGAAAGAAGGGAGGCTTAAAAAGGGAGTGAAAAAAACCAGATTAAGATTTTCAGGTGCTTTTACTTGAGTGGTTCTAGTTTATGGCTTAGAATCTAAATTACAAAGAGTTAATAATTCTTATAAAGCAGAACATGCACACATACATAGGAACAGGATTTAAAAAGTAACTTTAAAGTAGAAACAATTTATGACTTACGAAAATATTTGTTTTCCAGGTTTTTTTTTTTTTTTAATACAGGTAAAGATAGTTGAGCCTTATTCCTTTTAGGAGAAAGGGTGGATATTCGGGTTCCTTTTTTCTAATTCAGTTCAACCTATAAATTAAACTTTGTGAATTCATAAACTGAGTTTTCCTCATTACTAGAAAATAACCTTGCTTTCTTCATTAGGTGATCAGCATTTTTAAAATTTTTCTGCCGGTCCTGGGGCTTGAACTCAGGGCCTGGGTGCTATCCCTGAGCTTGTTTGTGCCCCAGGCTACTCTTCTACCACTTAGCCACAGTGCCACTTCCGGGTTTTTCTGAGTAGTTTCTTGGAGTCTCATGGACTTTTCTGCCCAGGGTGGCTTCAAACTGTGATCCTCAGATCTCAGCCTCCTGAGTAGCTAGAATTACAGGCATAAGCCACTGGTGCCCTACTGGTGGGCAGCATTTTAAGATGAGACTTCCTAATTGTTATTTGTCTTTTGGAAGCCTTGCAGTTTTCCAAAACCCCTGATTTTCTGACTTGAAAGATGAAATTTTACTCTTGATGGTTACTCCTGGAGAGCTCTTTTAGTAACGAAGGGGAAGAACTATGATTCCCATCACTAACTTATTTCAAGTATAGTTAACTATTCCAGATGTATAGTTTCTCATTGCACAGCTTTCGGTGGAAAAGCAAAACATTCTTATAATCATGTTTCAGAGATGAAAAGTCTTAACATTCACAATTGAAAGAATCTTGTTTCAAAGATTCTGAGCTCCTGGACCTTTAAAATAACCTTAATATATATTATTTGAATCTATTTTATGTGTGTGGGACCTTATTTTTCCCCCCAAAAGAGTTTATTCTGTACTTAGAACAAGTCATTTGACAAAGATAGCATTGATAAATAAACATTTATGAAACAGTTTTTGGAATTTCAGAAGGCTTAGCTGAGTCTGACTCAAGTGCCCATTTGTTGAAGTTTACAGAGTTTGTGAAGAAATTATCTTTGGGTCCTAGGTTTATTGATTGTTGTCGTTCTAATTAATAAATGAACTCAAAGCTTTGGTAGAACTGACGTTTTCCCAGCAGTTACAATTTAAATTCAGTCTTGTTAGTTCACTCCCCATTTTCTTGAAAGATTCCTAAAAACATGCCTAAGGTCTTCCAGAAAATACAGTTTAGATTTGGAGCTGGGAGTGTTAAAGAAAAGGGAGAGTTGGGGGAAAAGGCGGATGGGGAGAGACTTCCCGCCTCCCTTTAAGAGAGAAGTTGAGTCTGTGCCCCGTGTGGACACTAGGTTTTGGAGACAGCGCTTGTCAAAGCTATTTTGGCTTTTGGAGTTGGCCGCCTTCCCTTCCCCTTAAAAAAAAAAAAAGGCGTGTGGAGGGACCACTGCGCTTGGGGCTCTTCTCGGAGAGCCCCCAAACTGGGCTTTTCCCTGCTGGCGCGCCCCGTTCTGGCCATCTCCGCCATGCGTCCGCGCCCAGGGGCCGCCTTCGGAGCAGTTCCGTCCACCTTCCGCCTTTTTAGCCTGCCCCTGGCCAAAAACATCCGCAGACAGGCTTGCAGGCTCCCCCCTCCCCGACTTTCTTTCCCAGAACCCCGAGATTCCCTCGTGCTGCAAGACCCAGCCCCTCCCTGGCCTGACTAGATCTCAAACGTCCCGCGCCTTCCTCTGCGGGGCCACAGATCCCTCCTAAGACCTTTCCATTCTAAGGCAAAGGCCAGGGGAGGCAAAGCAGAGTGAAATGAGGAGAGGGAGGGAAGAAAAATGAGAGGTAGAGAGAAAATGGAGGTGCACGGAGCCTTCTCTCTCCGAAGCTGGGGCCCCTTAGCCTGGGGAAGGAGACCTTCAAAAGTCAACAGTGCCCATTTATATAATGGGTAATTTTTACAGAATGGGCTGGCTGCACATCCAAAAGGCAGAGTAAAAACGAAGGCTTGGAAGGATCCATTTTATTCAATGGGTACACCACAGACAACAGGTTTTTCCCTTTGGCTTTGGTGGAGTCTTTGAGGAGCTTTCTGGATGTTTGTTAGAAAATGTTTGCTCCCATCCATTCCCATTTTCCCTTCTTCTCTCCTATACCTTTGAAAACCTTCTCTAAACAAAACCAGAAGGAAAGGGTCTGAAAAAATAGGCACTCAACACAGTGGGTGCTCATTTGGTTATGAGAAAATTTGGTTTGGCTAGAAATGATCTTAGAAGCTAGGAGAAACATGGTTGCAAGAATGGATTGCCAGCAGGAAGGCAATCAGTCCACAGTTAGTCACTCCGTCCCAGTAGAATTTGCATGGTTCTTGAGGCTTTATTTAAAGAGGACTACATACTTGTCAGCAGTAGAGAAAGGGTCATGCTAGTACTTAGCTTTCTAAGTAAGACCTCTTTCCTACCTTTACACCATAGAAGGTTTGCAGTAAATACATCAGACTTAAATTGAGACTTCTGAAATAAAATGTGTTAATTATGAGTAATACATGGGGGAAAGTGGTCTGGACCTCATAATTGTGATACATACAGCTGGAGAGAAAACCTCATGACAATGTCCTGAGATGTAACAAACACCATCAGAAATGTAGTCTTGCTTGCTACTCAAGTTCAGCTCCCAGGAGCAAGGCTGGCTATCCATAACCAGCTTTAGAACGAAATACAGCTGGATGATGAAAAGAATTTTTGGGCTAGATTGCCTAGATATTTGCAAGACTCCTTGGGACAAGTCTAATGATTAAACAAATAGAAAGGACTATCTGGAATTTTGCTCATGGGTTGGGACCAGGGTGGTAGGGAAATTTTCTCTCAGCAGAGAAGACAAGGTAAGTGGGCCATTTCCACTTTGCCTTCTGTTTTACGGATTTGGGGGTCAGTCTTTTATATTTCCTTAGGGAAAGAGGGCTAAAGGAGAATTTATGAGCTTAAAATTTTAAGTTCACCTGTTTTTTTTTTTTTTAAACCAGTGTAAACTGTGAAGCTGAGCAATATAGAATCATATGATTTGGTTTAGCTGATTGGACAGACGTGAGGGTTTTAGAGAAGAAATTAGAAAAATCAGAAGTTTGAACATTTATTTCTGTGGTGCTGGGGATTGAACCCAAGGGTTTAGAAATTGTAAAAGATGAGTTTATTCCACTTGTAAAGATGGTTTCAGGGGATCCAAGAATGTTGGGTTATCTCTGTGAGTTAATGTATGTTTCCCCGGAGGTGAGGATAAGAATCATTCAAAATTCTTCAGGCCTCCAGGTGGGAGGAAGCTCTGGGAGATCAGGTCAGATTGGTCTTATGACCTGCCCTTCCCCTGCCTTGCTCACCCTCCTCCGGATGAGTCAGTGTTTTAAAAGCATGCTGGGTGCTCCTGGCTCAGGCCCCTAATCCTAGGTACTCAGGAGGCTGAGATCTGAGGATTATGGTTTGAAGCCAGCCTGGGTGGGAAAGTCCAAGAGCTCTCATTAACTAGCTAAAGTGGTAAAACACCAACCTTAACTGGAAATAAGTAAGGGAGAGCACTCTGGCTCTCTGTTCAAGCCCCAGTACTGGCTCCAAATATAAATAAATAAAGGAAGACCTCAGTTTCTATAACTGCAAAGTGGTGCTAAGCATTGTAGAATATATGTCCTCTGGTCATCCTTTACAGTTCTCTGCCCCACCCCATGCTCCTCCAGGAGAACTGGAACTGAAGAAATACCCAGGCACTTGAAAATGTATCCATACACCTTGTCTTTGGTCTTTTCTGTACTATGTGTGGAAGCTTGGATACTTATCTAAGGTATCAGATTAGGGTGTTTTGGCTTCCTTCCTTTGTTTCTTTTCCTTCCCCCCTTCCTTCCTTCTTTCCCTCCCTCTTTTCTCTCCCTTCCTCCTTACCTCCTTTTCCCCCTCCCTCCCTTCCTTCAGAACTTCCTTCCAAAACAGAGTTATAATAAGTAGCCTAGGGCTGTCTTTGGCATGTATTTTATGTGGGTCAATAATGGTTATGAATGTTGTAAGGGTTCTGTGTATAAGATGATATGAAAAGAAGATATTTACTTTATTTGGTGCTGGGATTTGAACTCAGGGCCTCTTGCTTTCTAGACAACTACTGTACCCCTTGAGCACCAGCCAGGGAAAGCCATCTTTAGCAAGAGGGAGATAAATGAAGCTCATTCCCGCAACTCTCCAGAAACCCTGTGTCATGGATCCTTCTAGTAGATCTCATCCATCATCTCCCAACAGAAGGCCTGGAGAGATCAGACAAGCAGGTTGAAGAGTGCTAGGTTGTTCAGTAGAATTGGATCTTTCATTTTATGTTCCCTGACACCCTGAGGTTGGAGCAGATTCCTAGCTAAAGTCTCAGGCTGTAGTTTCAAAGGTGCATGTAGGAGAGAGACATTGGGGCATGGGGAGATGACCTAAGTCATTAGCTGAGAAAAGTGTAGTAAAAATTCAGGATGATAGGGACTGAGATGAGTCCGTTTGGGGTTCTAAGGAAGAGCAGCTTCTCTTACCCGACTGGGGATAGGTAGGGTGGGTGGGGGAAAGGTATGTGGATCTTAATTAATGTTCTGTTTCTAGTCTGCCAACAAGATAGGCATTCAGGAATTGTGAATTTCTGGATGGCCAGGAAGTGACTGAAAATATTGTTTCTTCCTTCCTCTGCTTTTGTATAGTTACCTTACATTCCATCTCTCTGGTTCCCTGGTCAGCAAATAGCTCCCAAAGGTGCACTCAGAACCCACTTCCATGCCATTTCCTCTTTTCAGCCCTCTCTGCTCAAGGCAAGCATCCACATGTACACAGGAGTGTATGTACACACAGATGCACATACACACACACACACAGAGCTTCTGCCTGAGCCCCAGCTAAGGACCAAGGAATGGGGTGGGGAGAAGGGCTTCCAATCCGGATGTGGTTTCTGGCCCTTTAACAGGCTTGTGACTTTAATCAGCTACTATAAAGGGTTTTACAATTAGTTTATGCAGAGTGATATGTGTTGAATTTGGAATTGCTTGGGGCTCATCAACTTCCCATTAGGTTCTCTGAAGAGGAGAAAATGAGGGGAGAAAGGAACTGAAATGGGGGCTGCTGGCTGAAGTGAACTTGCCGGAGTTCCATACATTTATTCCACTTTACCTCGGAGGTCTCTAAATCACTTGGGAGGAGAAATGTAACAATAATGGAGACCACTTGCTATGCCTTACTCCCCTCCTTCCCTTTTGCTGGTCCAGGGGATTGAACTTGGGACCACGGTGCACTCTTCCATTCTTTCTTATTAGCTTCTTCCACTCAAGGCTAGCACTCTACCACTTGAGCCACACCTCCACTCCCAGCTTTTTGCTGGTTAATTGGAAATAATGAGTCTCATGGATTTTTCTGCCCCATTAGCTTTGAACCTCAATCCTCATATCTGAACTTCCTGAGTAGCTCAGGCATGAGCCACTGGCTTAAAAAGCAAAGATGATAGCTGGATGTCAGTGGCTCATGGCTGTAATCCTAACTAGCCTGTAATACTAACTACTCTGGAGGCTGAGATCTGAGGATCATGGTTCCTTGGCAGCACTGGCAGCCCGTGAGACACTTACACTCCAATAAACCACTTAAAACCGGAAGTGGCACTGTGGCTCAAGTGGTAGAGCGCTCACCTTGAGCTGAAAAGCTAAGGGACAGCTCCCAGGCCTAGAGTTCAAGCCCCACAACCACCAAAAAAAAAAAAAAAAGATGATACTTCATGGGATCCCATGTGTTCCATTCAAGGACCTGCAGAACTCCTGTACTGGCTGGGGCCATAGCAGCAGACTTCTTTTTCTTTGTTTGTTTGTTTTTGTTAGGCATGCACTCAACTACTGAACTATATCCCAAGCCCCCAGATTCATGTCCATTCCAATAACTTCATGTAAAAGGAAGAAAAGTCAGGCTCTGTGGTAGAGAGCTTGTCTAGCATGTCCAAGACCTTAGACTTGATTCCTAGCACCCGAAGAAAAAGGAAGAAAAATTTAGCTGATTAAGCTCCCTAGAAGAGTTTTAGAGGTATCCCCACTTTTTAGAATTATGTACCAAGGTTATTGCAGAATGAGCTCTGAGGGTAGGCAGACTGGTCTTCACAAGTCCTGTGTATCTCTGTGAGATAATCTTCATTTTACTTTTCTATTTTTTCCTGTCTTGCTGGCCATCCTGAATGAGCAGTTTCCTTTCCACTTCTGACTGCTGCAGGAATGTTACCTATCTAGTCCCAAGCGTCTTTGCTTTCCTCTTCAAAGGAAAAAAAACTTCCATTGTCAGCAACTTTTACGTGTGTGTGTGTGTGTGTGTGTGTGTGTGTATGAAATTTATTTACCACTCAGTTATTGGCCATTAAAGAATTAAAAAACCCAAAATTCCAACATCCCTGACAGAAAATAGCAAGGTGGTATTGGTGGTTAATTTGCATATTAGGGCACAGATTGGCACCTTGCATTGTGTACGTACTCATTTTTACTGTTAAGAGTCTACTGTTACATGACATTTTCTTTACTAGATAGTAGAAATAAAACAAGGAACAAGGGAACCACTGGTCTTAGGGTGGATGGAGAAAGACCTAATTTTCCCTTAAAAGTTTTAAGCTTTTCTTTTTGTCCTTGTTTGGTTTTATTTTTGAGATAGGTTGCTGCTCTCAAATTTCTGGGTTTAGGTGACTCAGAGCTGGGCTACCGGCTTCCCATCAATGCAACCACAAAAAGAACCTGGCATTTTAAAGACCATTGTTGGTTTTGCAGTTGCCAACATGGTGGAGACTTCTTTATCCTAACTAAAAAGGGAACCTTTGCCTGACGCCTCCCTGTATTAGCTATTTTATGTATTGGATTTTAGCTCGAAAGGGTTTGCTTTTCAGGGTGGGGAAGCTGGCCTGGTCTCCCTTCCAGGGAGTTTCGGGACAAAGTCCTTGCCCTCCAGTGTTTTCCCTTTAGATCCAGGAAAGCTGTGGGGTTGCCAGGAGCTTTTGGGGGCTTTATGCTCTCTGGGGCGAGGCACACCTACCCTGGAGCTGTGGCTTGGGAAGGTGGAAGGGAGCAGCTAACCTGGGTTTTGGAGGCTAAGCAGAAAAAAAACAAAACAAACAAACAAAAACCACCCAGGAGTGGATGAAGGAGCGCCCTGAGAACTGGCAGCTATTTGTGGATAGACAATTCCTGGTATTCAGTGGAGAGAAGTTATAGGTAGGGCTCAGATCCCCGTTTTATTTCTCTCAGCATCTGTGCTGTTAGGCCTGTGACAGAAGAACCTTCTACAATTATTGCTAGCTTGGTTTTTGAATATCTCTCTGTAGAGCTTGGCCATATTACTTCACTCAAGTCCCCAAAGAACCCCAAATCTTATTTTTTTTCATTGTACCCAAGGCCGCAACGCTTAGTGTGGCTCTCTACCTGGTGTGCACACTCAGCCAAGGGCTTCCATCTGGGCCTTTTATCTTGAAGATGAAGCTCTCTCACAGGTGAAGCCTGGTGGTGACCCTCACTGGGGGCTGTCTTTTCCTGAGCTTTATTAGGGTGCATAATCATTAGCAAATGAAAACATAACCAGCATGCATTGCTCCTCCTTCCTCCGTGGGCTGAAGGACTGGAGGTGTTTGGACTGATCCCCCCCTTCTCTGATGAGTGGGCAGCCAGGTGGGAAAGGGGGTAGCAAGGCAGGGGCCAGGCATAGCCTGCCTTTTCCCCACCTGTGTGAGTGGTGGGATCTGGGGTCACTGGGTCTCTATCCTAACCTGGATCCTCTCCATTTCCAGAAGCCGCATAAGTAAGCTGGGTAGGTACTGTGAGGGTTCCTCCCCTCATTTTCAGTGCTGGGGTTTGACCTCCCAGCTTCAGCTTGTCTTCATCCACTTGAGCCACACACAGCCCTTCTTTGGATTTTTTTGGAGGGAGGGGGAGTTTAACTCTGGGCCTGGCCGCTCGCTGTCCCTGAGCTTCTTTTACCCAAGGCTAGTGTTCTACCACTTGGTCCACAGAGCCACTTCCAACTTTTTTGAGTAGTTTATTCGAGATGAGAGTCTCAGGGACTTGCCAGCCTAGACTGTTTTCAAACTCTGATCCTCAGATCTCAGCCTCTTGAGTAGCTAGGATTACAGGCTTGGGCTACCAGCACCCAGCCTTATTTTGAATTTTAAGAACTACCACCCCGTGTCACATTTGGAAGGGACCAGGGAGGGCTAGAGGTTTTGGCTGATTTTCCCCCCCCTCTTTTGTTTGGGTTCAGTCCAGGGGAAAATGGAGCTTATAGGGTAGGGCCAGGAATGAGATGCTTCCTCCCCCATCTCTCTGCAGAAAGGGACAAAGAAGTGACCTTTGTTACACCCTAGTTCATGCTTCACACGTTAGTTTTCCAGGAGCAAGAAACCTAGCAAGTGAAGCAGGCCCCACAGTGTTGACCCTCCCCGGTCATCCTGGGCTAGTAGTCACATGACCCATAGAATGGAAATCACCTTCTGTCTCCCACGGAGAAAGGCTCAAGGTTCCTAAGAGAGTGTTTGTAAACTTCAAAAGTACCCAGCCAAGGTGCCTTGATGGCATCTCATAGGGCTGACCAGTACAGTCATTCTATTCCCCAGATGCCCTACTTTCCATGGGGGCCAGGGTCTTTAGATCTTGTGCAAGGCCTTGGGCACCTGGCCTCTCCAGGGCTAGGCCGGCCCTTGGGCCCCCTGTCCAGCTCCCAGTCCCTTGGTGGCAGCCTTCTCAGTGGGAGGCCGCCTCCCCAGCCCAGCCTCCTGTCTCTGAGGAATGCCGCCTCCCGGGCCCTTTTCTCCCCTCCAGCTCCTGCGGCCCCACTTCCAGCCTCTTCCCTGCTCCCTACCCCCAACCGGTTCCCACTTAAATGCTTGCAGGCCTGTTCGCAGGCGGGAAGCCCCCTCCCCCACAGGACCACCTCAGTCACAGCCCTGACCACAGGGAGGTCGGGTCTGGATTTACTAAAGGACCCCGGAGGGGGAGCCTGCCCCGTGTTGGTTTCCTGGCTCGCCGATGGGGATGGGGTCGGGTTTCGGCCGGTGGCTCTGGGTTGAGAGAGGGAGAGACAAAGGGCAAAGTCCTGGTCCCCACCCCCACCCAGCAGCCCCTGCCGCGGGTCCCCTCCCCCTCTGGGCCTGTCGGCCCCGCAAGACCGGCTAGAGCCACTGGGGTAGCCAGGGCGCATGGGGGGTGGGGTGGGGTGGAACATTTTAGACTGCAGCTGAGGGGGTCGGGGGGCATCCTTTCCTCCCCCTCCTGGCTCTCTAGCAGCGCCAGCCCACCCAGCACTGGGATAGGAGGGTGAGTCCCCAGTCTTCCCTTGGTTTAGGGGAGAGGGGGCTGGAGGAAGGGGCGCCCAGTGGGGCTCAAGCCTGGCCCCTCAGCTGCTCAGGCCTTCTCAATTGCGCGTTCATGAGGACTCCCCTCCCCCCCACTCAGCTGCTGCGAGCCCTCCCCCACCCTCAGCTGCTGCCGCCCTTCCTTCCCAGGCACCTCACTCCCCTCAGTTGCCCTGACCGCTCCGTTTTTCAGCTCTCTGGGGGAGAGGCTGTGTGTCTAGGACCTGGGTCTTTCTTGCCTCTTGGAGACCCATCCCTCCTGATCAGAGTCGATGAGAGCCATCTTGGAAGGTGCTGGTAATGCTGTACCCAGACAGAATCCCTGGGCCAGCAGAGAGAAAAGACCTCCACAGAGAGAGAAAGCCGATTGCCCCGCCCCAAGGCAGACTTCAGGATGGGCATCTCTGTTCCTACGACTGGAGCTGTAGGAACTGCCCCACCAGACCAAACCAAATACCCAGCTAAGTCTCCCACCAACACGACTGAGGATAAGTTCATTGTTACTGGGTCACTGTCTCATCTTTACAAAGGAAACAGGTATTCCTGATTCCTTCTGAGGCTGTCGGGCTTCCTTTTCCTTCTGAGGACTCCACCTTAACATCCCCATCTTGAGCTGGGCCTCCACACTTGCTGCTCCTCCGGAGGAGACTCTCTCTCTCTCTCTCTCCCCCCCTCTCCCTCCCTCCCTTTTCTCCTTCCCCTCTCCCTCTCTCTCCCCCTCATAGCAAAGCCCACATTGCCTTCTACCTATCAGAAACTCCATCCTCAGCCAGGTGCCAGACCATTTGGCTCCTAGGCTTCCCTGAGAGATGCTGACATCTGCCCTTGGTGTAGAGCTGGAGAGTAGGGGTGAGAGCTGGGGGACCCCTGTCTAGCTCACTAGGGCTGGGAGAACTTCTTTTCCCTCTGGTAGATATGAACCTTCCTGGGGCCCAGAAAGTCTTGCCGTCGTGAGCCTGAGAAGGATAAAGAGCAGTTTTTCTGAGGCCCACCATCTCTGCCTCCACCAGGAAAGCTCTGCTGCATTCTGCATTGTTCAGGCCGGTACTTACTGTCCAATCTTGTCCTTTAGGTTTTTCTAGTCCTTTTTTTTTTTTCCTCTATCTCCCTCCCTTCTTCCCTTCCCTTCCTTCCCCTCCTTCCTTTTTTCCTTCTTTTTGTGCTGCTACTGGGGCTTGTATTCAAGGCCTGGGTGCTAGCTATCCTTTAGCTTTTTTCCTCCTTAAGGCAGGTGCTTTACCATTGTAGTCATACCTCCACTTACAGCTTTTTGGTAGTTAATTGGAGATAGGACTTTCCTGCCTATCTGGTTTTGAACCATGATCCTCAAATCTTAGGCTCCTGTGTAGCTAGGATTATAGGTGCCTGGCTCTGATGGTTTCTTACACATACCTCACCTTCCTGATTCTCTTTGGTTCTGCTCTGTCTTACCGCTGTTCAGCTCCATGTGGCCAGCCGTCTGCTGAAGCCACACTAAGGTTAAAGAACTAAATTCTAGGCATAGAGCAAGGTGGGGGGGGGCGGAGGAGGGGGCGGGGAGCAGGAGGTGCCAGTTGGCCCAAGCAGGCTTGGAATTTGCCTGGAAAGAGATCTGCTGTCCCAGAGCTTCTGTTTTGGCTTTCTCTGGCACTGCCCAGATGGGCAAGGGAGGGGGGAAAAATCCCTAAAAACCTGCAGGCTTTCTTGTCAATGCATTTATTTCAGAGATGAGTGAATTGAGCTTAGTGGCTTAGCTTGCAGCCCCCCCTCCTTGTTCACACCTTTGCTTCCTTGTCCACACTAAATCTAGTTGGTGTTTTGCAGGCTAAGAACTTTTGGTGACTACCCTTTTCCCCATTTAACAGATCTCTGACAGCCATCCAGCCATATTATAGAGTAGTTAGCTCTTCAGCAAATTAAATCTTGTGCCCAAATTAGAGCCGCATGCAGTGAAAGCCAGTTGGCATGCATTTAGCCATACAGAATATGGGCATTTTTTTCCCCCTGCGCCTGACATGGGGCTCTGCTGTGTATTAACACTTGTCTTCAGAGAGAAACCGCCATGGGTGAAACCGGCCTGGAGAGATGAATTTTTCATCCACCCCCAACTTGGCTGGTCTTTTTTTTTTTTTTTTCCTTTCTCCGAGCCTCGGTGGCTCCATGTATGAAATGAAGGGGCTGGGATTGTTTAGGTTTGAAGGGCATCCTCTCCTCCTCACCTCAAAATATGAAATTGATTTTCTTCAACTGGAACAGATCTTGGTGATAAGGTGTGTGTGTGTGTGAGAGAGAGAGAGAGAAAGTAAGGAGGAGGGTGCCAACGCAAGCCAGCATATCTAGGGTTCTGTGAGGTTAGTGATCCTCCCCTCTGACTTGGTATTAAACTCAGAAGAGCCCTCCAGAGGAGGTGTTCTGTTCAGACCTGAGTTTCTGGAGCAATGCTTTTCCTCCTTACTTGTCCTCAACTTCCTACTTGTTTGCGCATGAGTCCGTTCGCGTGCCACATGCACTTAAAAGATCATGTGCACGGGGTCGTGGATGCGTTCCAGGGATGTCTGCCTTCCAGGTCCATGCTTTTCTTGGTGGCGGCAGCATCTGTCCTGCCCAGTCCCCCATACCTACCTCCAGTAGAGTAGGTCATTGCTTTTTAGCCCCAATCCCTAAACTCCAGCCACCCGACATCCCTCCTGCCCATCCGCCTGTCTGGCAGCCCTGCCTCTGGAGCGGCCTGGCACAGAGCCCTGGGCATGGGGCCAGCTCCTCCTCCCACTCCAGCCCCGCCCCCTTTCTCAGCTACTGGCTGCCTGAAGCGTGCCAGGACTGCCCTCTTCAGAAGTTTTTCCTTGATATTAAAAAAAAAAAAGTCCTCTGCATTCTGTATATGGATAAAGAGAAGGGTGGAGAAGGAAGGGTTGCGTCCCAGGTGCCATGGTGGGCTACTGGCAGGGGCAGTGGTGGGTCCTTTGGTCCTTCAGGGAAGCTTCTAGCTGGTAGACAGTTGGAGAGGGTCCAACTTTTGAGTTACACGAGACCCTTTTGTTGAAGAGTCAGCAGAATCACTCCTTTCTGAAGGCAGGAACTAGTAGACAGTGCTCCGCACCTCAGTCAGCCTTGTCCACTTCTTTCCCATCCCAAACCAAATGAGTGGGGGGGGGTCTCCCAGTGGACTGGACCAGAACCTCTATGAGAGCAGGAGTCTTGCTAGTCACAGTGGCTCAGTGTAGCAGCTCAGACTGCAGCCTGAGCCACACATGGAAGGTTATTTATGTATTTTTTGAGAAACAAAGTCCGTGCTGGCCTTGAACTCTGAGAATTCCTGCCTATACCTCTCCAGTGCTGGGATTACAGGCCTGTGTCACCAAGCTTGAGCATTTTAATTGCCACATTTATTTATTTATTTATTTAGTGCTGGTCCTGGGGCTTGAAGTCAGGGCCTGGGTGCTGTTTTCATGGCTATTGCTCTACCACACAAGCCACAGCTTCACTTGTGGCTCCTTAGTGGTTGATTGTAGAGTCTCATGGACTTTCCTGCCCCGTCTGGTGTCAAGCCTCTGTCCTCAAATCTCACCTCTCCTGAGTCACTAGAATTCTAGGATGAGCCACTGGCACCCTGCTGATCCCCATCTGGGGACACAGGACCCTGTCATGTTTCCCAGATGAGAAGTTGAGGTCCAGAGATTTGAAGCCTTCACCAGTGAAGGCAGAGGCCTGGATTTGGGGAGGCTGGAGTTGAAGGCTCTAATCTGAAGATCCCAGTTTAATCCTACTTGTGCCAAAGAGGAAAATTTCAGGCTTTGTTCAGGACAGAGCCCTCGGGGGATTTGGGACCCTAACCTTGGCAGGGCTCCAAAAAACTGCTAAGTGCTTCTCTAAGAGCTCTACCTTCAACTGGCCTGGCCCTATCTTGGTTTAAAGGAATTCCTCAGACAAGGGAAAGGAAACCATCTGCATGATTGCAGGTTGTACTCTTCCCCTCTGGGGACGAGGACCTTGTGGGAGGAACAAGTTTATGATTCACAATAGGATTTAAAAACAATAATACCATGTTAATGTCATTTGAACTAGCCAGTGTTGGGCATTCCATAAAGTCTTCTTTCAGAGAGAAGTCTGAAAATCTGTAGCTGGAAGAAGTCACTTAAAGAATTATAGGAGGGATGTTTCAGTTTGTAGACCACGTCCCACGTGGCAGGCCAGTACCCTTAGAATTTCTAATGGTCCCTCAGGCTTTTACTACTTTGACTAAAGGCTTTCTCTTACCATATACAAATCATCAAAAACATAGCAAAGAGGCTGGAATCAGACAGGCTTTGGGTTCAAATCCTGGCTCAGGCTCTTAGTGGTTTGTTACTTTGGCAAGATAGTAAACTTTTTTCTTTCGTGTTGGTATTCTGGGTACAACTCAACTTTCACTTGGATTTTTTCACTCAAGGCTAGCATTCCTATCAGTTGACATAGCTCCACTTCTGGCTTTTTGTTAGTTAATTGGAGATATAGACTTTCCTGCTGGGTCTGGCTTTGAACTGAGACATGAGACATTGTAGACATGAACCAAACTTCTCGAGTGTGAAAGAGGGAACAGGGAGACTTCCTGTCTTGTCCCTAGTGCTCAGCCCTGCATTTCCTGAATCTTGTGCCGTCCTGCGTGGTTCCTTAAGCTGGTATGTGTATTCGTTCCCACTCTCTCCACAACCATCCCTGATTTCCAGAGCATGGCCACTTAGGCAATTCCCTTTACATTCCCCATGATCTAGGGGAATATGTGAATAATGGTAATTTTCTTTTTTTCTTCTGGTCCTGGGACTAGCTTGCTTGCTCAGCAAGCAAGTGCTCAGCACTTTATCACTTGAGCCATGCCTCCAGTCCCACTTTCTGCTGGTTGTTTTGGAGAGTCTTGAAGTTGTTTTTTCTTTCTGCCCAAGGTGACTTCAAACCACTGTCCTCCAATCTCAGCCTCCCAGCCTCTGGAGTTGCTAGCAATCGCAGGCATGCGCCACTGGCTGGCGCCAGCTAATTGATATGTTCTCTTGAGCTGCCCTCCAGGGCCTGATCAATGACTGGCCTGTGGAGCAGGGCAGGTAGAGGACACCAGACAGCCACGGGCTTTTGGCATCCGGTAATACCATTTGTCTGGTGCATCCATTGCCTTTATGGCCGTCGGTGGCAGTTTCATTGTCTTGATCAACAGATTTTTTTTCAACTCCTGGAAGCTGGGGTAGCTGATGAACCCCTGGGAGTTTTCTTGGCTGAGCAGTGGATGTATTGGAGCCTCAGAGAATGCACTTAGGGCATTGTTACCTATTACCTAGAGAACACACCTGGCTTAGAAGGATCTGGTCTTCTGAAGCCAGGGTAGTTGGCCTGGGTGGGGGCGGATGAGTCAGTCAGCGCTCTAGGCATTGATATTTTTCACTAGTTTCCCATCAGTGCAGAAGACATGACTGTCACCATCTCTCCTGCCAAGTGATTCACCCATCCCTACTTTCTGCCCAACTCTCTGAGAAATGGCCAGACTTGGGTGGAGCCTTGCTACCCAGACTGTCAGCTTCGTATACTTTCTCTTTGAAGTACTAAAGAAAGTATTGGTCAGTTTTCACAAAGAATGGTGTTTGGAGTCAGGGAACTCTTAGGCCCTGTTACAAGCTCTCCCGAGCTCTCGGCACACACTGGGGTATACCTGTTAGTGGCATGAATGAGTTCCCCTCCGGGTAGGTAGTTCGACAGCTAGGAAACACAGGTTATAATTCTCCGTGTTGCTTTGGGCCTGAAAAAAATTAGGTAGCCCGATACTTAATGGAAACCAGCCCATAGGTTTAGGAGACAAAAGTCCTTCTGGGCTTCAGCTCAGATTTTTAATCAGGGTTAGGGGATTTCTGAAGGGAGGTCTGAGAGGGGCCTGGAGTGGGTTCCCAGGGTGGGTTATGTGCCCTCGAGGAGTGGGGGAGGGCTGCCAGGATGTCTTTTCTTTCATTGGTTTGGTGCCCTGCCCTCCTCCCCCTCCCTCTCTTGGAACATTCCAGACATTCCAGACGATCTGCCTGCCATTGCTTTCAGGATATGGATTAACATCCTTACAGAGGTTTGATTTCACCCACTGCTACCCCTCTTTCCCTCTCCCCTCCCTGAAAAGAAAGCCCCTGATACTGGGAGTTTGAAGTAAGAGGATGTTTTGACCATTGATCTTAGATTGCACTCAGGGACCGGTCTAAAAGAACTTCAAACAGTGCTCCTGACATGGGATTGCTTTAGGCCCTCACTCTACTGGACAAGTATCTGTCTTCATTCAAAATGGTTCACTTAAGGGAGGGCCCGTCCCTGTTCTGTTAAACCTGCTTAGTATTCTCAATCTGTCCACAAGGTAATCATTTCTTTGCCCCCAGTTTACTAGTTTGTCACTACCCATTTGGTCATCAAGCGCATGGTGGGAAATCCCTCATGTGGGCAGTTGCGAAGCTTCCTCCTGGCCAATGAATTGAATCACAAGGTGGCCTGATGGCATCTGAAGACCTGGAACTGGATTTAGTTCTCATCCTTACAATGTTGTCTTTGCTAAAATCCAACTCCAGGTCTTCATGAGCCAACCAAAAGTTCAGTGCCACAAAGACTTTCCCCTACTTAATTGTACTTAATTGTTCCCTTCATGTACTTCATGGATTAAAGACTCTTCATGCTTAAAATTGCAGGGCTAGAGCTGGAGGCATGGCTCATTTGATAGAAGGCCTGTCTAGCAAGCCCCTAAGACTCTAGAATTCAGACCTAAAGAACAATTTTACTTGACAGCTGGTGACACTTGAGGTCTCAGTGGTGGGGTGAGGAAGCTGGCCTGGACAGTCAAGGCTGACACTTTTTTTTTTTGACTGGTCGTGGGGCCTGAACTGGGTCTGGGCGCTGTCCCTCAGCTCTTCAGCTCAAGGCAAGCACTCTACCACTTGAGCCACAGCACCACTTTCAGCTTTTTTTGCTTCTGTGGTGCTGAGGAATCGAACCCAGGGCCTCATGCATGCAAGGCAAGCACTCTACCACTGAGCCACCTTCCCAGCCCAAGGCTGACACATTTTGCAGTTAGACTTTGGCATCCTTTTCCTCCTCCTTCAGCTAGACCAGAACTGGTATGGTGTCCTCATCACTTCTTAGTACAAGACTGAGGTTGGAACAAAACGGCTTAAACGTACCAACTAGCCAACCAGTGTTCACTAGATCCTATGTTGAAAATGAACTGCATAACTTGTGGGTGGGAATGGAAGGAAAAACTGGGAGAGGATGAAAGAACTGGTTACATTGTCCAAAAAGAAACTCTTTATCTGACTTATGTAATTGTAACGCCACCTTTATAACGATAATAAATGTTTTTGCTTAAAAAGGTTTGAACTAGACTTTCTAGTCGTTTACCTTTCAGCCTCTAGGGTTTTGTTTGGACAGAGTCCTTCAGCTAAGATCTTGTGATCTAGGATGTATGGGGACCTAAATGATAATCGACTAACACATCAAGTCAATTTGAATATCTTTCAGGGACAGGGATATTGATTTGGGTAGGGAGCAGTTGCCCTGGGATTCAACCCTGAACTCAAAAGCTTTCCTCAGGGAAAATTACTCCACCTACACACCTCTTCACTCAGGGCCACAGCTCTATCACTTGAGTCACACACAGCTCTACTGGCTGTTTTGTTGGTTAATTGGAGTCTTTTGGATTTGTCCTTCCAGGCCAGCTTCAAACTGGGATTCTCAGATCTCAGCATCCTGAGTAATAGGATTAGTCATGAGCTCACCAGTGTTAAGTTGGAAAAAGTTTTTTTGTGTGTGTGTGCCAGTCCTGGGGCTTGAACACAAGGTCGTGGTCTGTCCCTGAGGGGGACCCCCCTCCCAAGGCTAGTGTTCTACCACTTGCCACAGCTTTACTCTAGGCTTTTTTGGGAGTTAATTGGAGATGAGTCTCATGGACCCAGTCTGGCTTTGAACCACAATCCTTAGAGCTCAGCCTTCTGAGTAGCTAGGATTATAGGTGGGAGCCACTGGCAGCTTAAAAAAAAAAAGACATTTGTAATACGCAGTTGAAAGATGGGAAGGAAAAAGTGCATAGTTAACTGAGGCGCGGGGGTGAGTGGGTTTGAATCCAGGTTGCCTTTAGCATTCACAGATGCATCTATTGTTACACTTTAAGTACTTACACCAAGCCTTTTGCTAAGCTCTTTACAAATATTATCTAACACCACCCACCACCTGTGAATAGGTATTAATCTCCGTTTCACAAAGGAGGAAAGTGGGCCTCGTAGAAGTTAAATAATCTTCTAAAGATCAGTGCTAATAAGTGCTTTAAATCCATATTTGTGCCAAGGGCTTAGCGGCTGGACTTTTGAGTTGCTGTGATTTGTTGGCCCATATCATCTTCCCTACCTAATACATCAGGAGCACGTCCAGCCAGTCATTTCTTCTACATTGTTTTTGGCGCATGGGGAGTTGGTGTTGCCTGGAAGGGGGTGTTGCAGGTACTAGTGCTTGAACTCAGGGCCTGAATGCTTTCACATAGTTGTTGAATTCACTCAGTATCTTACTTACGTAGCTTTGTGTTCGTCCTGGAACCTAGTCAGGCAGAGGAGTGAATGTGAAAGCTAAGCAAAGCAAACTTCAGTGGTTTTGTTTTCTGTTTTTTGCTTTTTGTTTTTACAGGGTGGTGGTGGTGAATTGAGTTACCCTTGTGCTCAGAACATCTGCTGCTTCTCCATTCTGGAGAAGTGTTGATAATTTGGTCTTCAAGGGTAGCCCTATCTCCCAACTTCAAATCTGCCTTCTTAGAAGGGAGACCACTCTAAGGGGCTGGGGAGGGTGGCTTAGTGCAGCCTTTGTCTAGGGTGCTTAAGGCTCTGGGCTTACTTCTCAGCATTGTAAAAAATAAACATATTAATTAGCATTCTAAGATACTGGTGCTGCTGATAGAGGGCCGGAAGTTGTGGGACTGTGTGTGAGGGGGGTGGAGAATCAAGCTTGAGACAAGGATTAGACACTGCCAAATGTTGAAACAGAAAATATCCAGAAAGCTCTCTCCTTCCCTCCCTTCTCCCCCTTCCCTCCCTCCCCCTCCTTCCTCCTCCCCCTTCTTCC